GATACTAAAATTAGGATTTTAAAAGAGTTGTTTTGGGCCGGGGGGGGGGGTCGAGTTTTCGCAGGAGCGAAGTTATAATATAAGTGTGCAATACACAGGCTTTGTCCTGTAGTCGGTGTTACAAGAAAAAAAAAATAAAAAAATTTAGTTCAGTAATTTACAGTTCAGAGGCGCCGCGCGTCTGTTCCAAGCAGCTTGGAGCCGCAGAAGTCACGTGACGAGAGTGAAGCGAAATGACTGGTGGCGGATCCAAAAGCGCAAGAGAACTTTTGTTAATAAACGTTACATTTCTTCGTTTAAAATAACTGAGTTGGTCTTGATTGTTGCTGTGTTTTCATTAAAAAAATAACGATGAACCACAAACTAAGCATTCGTTTTAAATAAGGGAAAGCTTATTTATTTGGGTTACAACGCATGTATAGGCTCCGTCTTCTTCAATTTGTTAATACGAATTAGAGGTTTAATAAATGCGAATTTGCCATTGTACTACTTTATGACTGATCTGTTTTAATAACAATGAACCACAAACTGCAATGGTTTTAAAAGGGCAAATCCATTATATTTGCATTACAAATTTTATTAACAAAATTGGCATTTTGTTAATAAAACTTCAGTTTAACGTGAATTTCTTAATGATACTACTTTATTGTGGGCCTATATGTTTTTTTTATTATTATTATTAATAATATATATAAATCTATTTTATTGTTGATGTAACGGGGTTTTTTATTATATATTGAATCAACCTTAAGCATTAGTTTTGATCCACGAAAAGATAACGTTAAAGATCAAGATGCGAGAATGCGACAGTTACTGCTGAGGTAAATGGACTCTCTCCCTCTTTCTCTGTTTCTTTGTACGTTTTTTAATGAATCTAGTGAGTCAATGATTCAGTTACCCATTCATAAAACAGTCACTCGCTTTGTTCCTGAATGAATCAACTGTTTGAACGAATCGTTAAACAAATGATTCAGGGACAAAGACAGAGATTTGCTGCCACCTACTGACAGTTTGTTTCATTTTTAAAGTATAATTTCAGTTATTTAAATCATTTAGTATTTCTTTATTCAAAACTTTATATTTAAAACATTGATTTCATAACATTGTTATTATGATTTTAAATGCATTCATGCCACCTCCCAGCCTCATTAAATAGTCTGTAAACATGTGGAAATGCTGCTTTTGTGTTTTTCTGTTTCACCTCTGTAGTGTAAAGATGAGACGTTTTTCCACTGCTTTCACACAGCTAAAACAGACAACGCGATCACCTTCCTCAGTGTAATGCAGCCACCTCCATTTGTCGAACCAGTTTGTATTGAATGAATGAGAAAATGTCTCTTTTCCGAACTGCCTTCCAGGAAAACTGAAGTTGGCTGGTTGGTGTGGAGTGATTGCCTCGACCAAATCAATAACGCTAGTATTTTGTGCTGGTACTGCCGCGGCAGCGACGTTCATGTTACCTTGAATTAGCGCGGCTCCTGGGCCCAGATCCGGGGCTGATGTGGTGGTCGCCTTGGAGGAGCTGTTGCAGCTGCTGCTGCTGGTTGGCTGCCTACTAGGCATAGGCTCCAGGTTTGCTTCCTCTTCCGACTGACAGCTCAAGGCTTGGTCTCTTTTTATTTTGTTTGGGCTTTGCAAAATGCGTTTTTGCGCCATGTTGACTGGTGTATTTTTTAATCTTCAATGACGGATGCGGACGTGGTGGTTACGTCACGCAACAATTGTTGCTTATTGTCATTAAGCTTTTTTCCCCTATGATTTTAATGAATATTAAAATTAATAAAAATTAGTTTTATTTCTTTTTTTGTCATAAAATTTTCATTTCTTTCTTTTTTTAACACCGCACCGATATAAATGATATATGAATTATATAACTAAAAGTAAATAACTGTAATTACAGATTTAGGTTAAATAAAGATGTCAGTCATTATTTTTCTTCTTTTTAGGAAGCAAATCAAAGAAAAAATAATCCTAATATTCTGTATGTTGCTCAAAAACAAAATATATTGTGTTCGGCGGAAAAACGTTTTTTTTTTTTTACCCAGTCATTTAAAAATAACACATTTTAGAGCTGTAACGACAATACCGTGAAATCGTGATATTTTTGCTTAAGGTTATCATACCGTCAAAATCTCATACCGGCCCATGCCTAAATGCAACAGAGCAACACCACACATTGGAATTCATTTTTTTTAATTGGAAGGCTTGTTGCTGCAAGGATGTGTAGCATACATTCACTGCTGGTGTGAATAGATCATAAGCAATTAATAAAAGACCAAAAGCAACTAATTTCTTTCCCCCTGTGTGACAACAGGTGGCGCAGATAAAGGAAAACACAGAGAGACACAGGTATGCACCATCTCCTGATCTCCACCGCCACACTGCTCATCTCTCCATATTATATTCTCTCAGTAATAAGTAGTAAGAGGATGTTTGATGTGTAGATCAGATACATTTGGAACATGCTAATACGTCTGTGCATCAAAAGTACATAGAAAATGTGTTGTTGTTGTTTTTTGAATTTGTGAATTTAAACATGATATTTCTGTAGCCAGCTGTGGTGCATCTTCAAGGTCAGGAAACTACTATCCAGGTGAAAGAAGGTAAGAGTTAAATAATGATCTCCCACATACAACTATACATATGCTTCATAATGCTTACTGATATTGTGTGTTGGAATGACTTTCATTTGTTAAAGGTTGTGTGAAGGGCTCAAATATAAGGATGACCCACTGGCTGTTGTAAATGTTCATTGTAAAAAAAAATTTAAATTAAGTACATAAATAAAAATTTACACTTCATGAAGAAAAAATATGCTGCCGTTGGAGTCAGGAGGAAATTAAGACTTTGATTTAACAAGGACACAATTTATCAAAAGCATAAAGACATTTTAAAGTAAAGACATTTATATGGTTACAAAATATTTGTATTTCAAATAAATGCTGTTATTTTGACATTTCTGTGCATCACATAATCCTGAAAACATACAAAATATTAAGCAGCACAACTATTTTCAGTGTTGATAAAGAAATGTTTCTGAAGCATCTAATCAGTATATTAGAATGATTTCTGAAAGATCATTTGAAACTGAAGACAAGTAATGGCTGCTGAAAATTCAGTATTGCATCACCAGAATAAATTACATTTTAATTAAAAAATTCTAATTAAAAACATTATTTTGAATTGTAGTAATATTTCTAATTGTTACTGATTTTAATGTGTGTGTAATAAAAAAAATTAATAATTAAATTATCAATGAGAAATGTATAATGTATTGGTGTCACGGTCAGTGAAAATTTTGACAAGGCAAGAATCGGAAGAAATCGGAGAAAACCCTCCTTATAATTGAGCCCTGGTGTGTGCGTGTGCGTGTGTTAACTATGTGCCGCTGCTGTCATAACAGATGATTGAGTATTTACTGGTGTCTGTTTGTGAGATTTGTCAGAAGGTGTGTTGAAAAATTGGAGAATGATCTCAATCCATCAGAGAGTGTTTAAAATGCACTCACGCTCTGGAGAGCTGGAAGTCCTACTTGACGGAACATATTTTATATATAGTCAGGTAGAAGTGAGTACAGTCCCTGGACTAACTCTACTGCTTATACACAAACAAATACAAATACAGTCTACATTTCATACAAATACAACAAAATATATATTTTTCCAATTTTACCATGATTAGAAATCAGTAATCATTATCCCAATGTGCTTTCCTTGTGTGTCTGTGTGTTCAACAGGTATATTACCTGAACTTCACGGACATAGCGAGTTATGAGCTGATGGTTGATAAGACTCCATTCTTACGCTGCACGCGAAGCATCGAGACCGGCCAGCGCAAGTTCAACACCTGTTACACCGCGGGGGTGTGTTTGTTGCGAGCCCACCAGAGGATCTCGATCCGCATGGTGTACGAGGACACCTCCATCTCCATGAGCAACCACACCACCTTCCTCGGCAGCATCCGTCTAGGGGACGCCCCTGCCGCAGGACACACCTGAGCCCATCGGCGTACGGGTCGAGCTGATCAGACACACACATCACTCTGATGAGCTCACAGACCACACCCACTGAACTCAACTGAGCCAGTATGTCTCATTAGCACCGCCACCAAGGACACAGAGCCAACCATTTATGAACGACCGGGCTCATCTACATATCTGCCGAGCATCAGGCAAATGTGACTATGTAGCATCACCAACACTGACAAAAAGATCCAATTCTCTCTGAGCACTGAAACAGCCTCCATCATTCCTCAAACACTAGCAACACAATATTCGCTACAAATTATTAAATCTACAGACTGGCTTCCTGGTAAATAACCAAGATGCATTGTGTATTAGTCATTCTAGCAGCTTCCACCTAGCCACTGGATGAGTTGAGCGTCTTTACACCTGCGTGTATGTGTTATCCGGCACGCGTAGCACATGATTGCAGTGACTGGAACTGTGAATGGAGTGAGATACTCTATTCATTTCACCGGTAGCATAACAGACACACACATTAATAGATTCAAAAACACATAAATAGTGAACCTGTGTACTTTTCTATCAAGCACTGATTATGGCAATGTATAAAACAGAATATCTATGTTCAGTTATCACTAAATTTTTACAAATGCAGTCAAGATGCCCATTTTTGATATGAAGTCATGCAATTCTGAAATGTACAGTTGTATGGTTCTTTGCTCTCTACCTACCTGTAATTACCTGTGGGAAAAACTGAGTGATGCCAGTAGTTCAGGCACTGAAATCGATGATAATCCATAATGGCTTTCTAGTGTCCTAGTCTTCCAACATCATCCTGAATATGCGATACAATACCATATGCCTCCTGTAGGGGACAGTAGTGCTCCTCTATAGCAAATGAAGCACTGAGTCTGGCTGTGTTTGGAATAGAATACTGTTGTACTTCGATTACTTTTGCTACAGTACATAGAATGCATGCTGTAGTCTAATATATATATATATATATATTATTGTATGTGTGTGTGTGTGTATGTGTATATACACACACACACACACACTACTGTTTAAAATAAGTTTGGGTCAGTAATATTTTTTTAAGTTTAAGAACGCATTAAATTGGTCAAAAGTTACACTAAAGACGTTTACAGTGTTGCAAAAGATTTATATTTCAAATGAATGCTGTTCAGTAGCGTATATGCTGAATACTGTATCCCACAATGCAAAATCCCACAGATATCCTCATTAAAATAGACAATTTTACACAAAAATAAAAAAATTTTTTAAAAAAAACCCTGTAAAACATATAAGATGATAACTCGCTGAATTGATTATGCAATTTGACCTAGAATACTACTGAATCACAGCGTTTCATAATCTATTGTGTTACCTATACCGGTTTTAAAAACAGTGGGCAGTATTCAGTATATACTGCACACAGTATACAGTAAGCAATAAGCTAGTATTCCATTCCAAACATGAGCCTGTCTTTCACTCCAACGCATACTGATAAAAAATCAGTGTCATGAATCAGCCCTTGAGATTTCTCCAGCGCCCAAGTGACAGCTCAGGATTGTGGATCTGAATGGGTTGTAGAGAAAAACTGAATTATGCGAGTGTAGTTAAGTTCATAGGAATCAGATCCTCACAGTGAGAACAAACTGCTTTATTGTGCGTTCAAAGGTCTTGGAATAAAAAGCATGGGAATTATCTGGAACCTTCTGAAGAGAGCTGGTAATCTGCCCTCAGGTTTCCTCTGCATGTTCCCTCTGTCTCCACATGGAAATGTAAAAAACCAGGGGAGTCGGAATGTGATTGTGTTCTGATAGATTTGTTGTTTATATCTCCCTTTTCTTCCCTCAAACATCACATCCGACCGACAGCTTGTTTTAGTTTCTGTTTCTTGTGTGTGTGTATGTGTGTGTGTTTTAGATACGAGATAAGTGATTTGTATACTGTATGTAGTCCTGTTTTACTGAAGATAATGTATATTTGTAAGCTATACAGGGACTGTATATATGTACATAAGATATTTTGCTCTTTTGTAAAGTTTTAAATGTCCTATTAAATTGTTTTTGGAAGTCTGTTTTTAAAGTGTGCTTCAATTCCCAATGTTCCCAGAGAAAGCGTGAATTGGAGTGAGAACTGCAGTTTTGGGCCAGTTGGTGTGCAGGGCCACCTAGTGTTCAATTAAAAAAAACTGGTCTGTTTTCTAATACCTGTAAATTCAGTCATATAATTCAAATATGACCATCAGTATATTCTTGTAGTCATATACAGAGATGTTTGTGGCTTAATTTAATCAGATGTAAAGACTGACTGTATTTGTGAACGTGTGACAGACATGTTGATTCAAACTCTCAGTGGAGAAACCAAATCAGTTTCACTAAGCATACCTCAACTTCATTGCTGTTCCACACTGTCTAGAACAGAAACATCCTTTCTGCCTGTGTGTATCCAGTGTTAAGTGGTCTGGAGAATGGCGTCACAGCTAATAACACCTTACAGTGTCATTCTTTCACAAACATGAAGGTTTCGTCACCTGTTTCCACATTCCTCTGTCTTGCTGTCTACATTGTACACAAACAAATGCAGAAGACAGGATACGCTCTTGGTGCTAAGCTTTTGTCTAAAATCTCAGGACAATTACGTCAAAGAGCACACAACAGAAAGCAAAGGGCTCATCCGTACAAGCCCCCTGACTGCTTCAAACAGGTGAACTCTACACAATGGTTTCTAGGTGAGACATCTTCATCTCACACCTCATCATCCGTAGCTCTTTCATGTTTCTATTATTGCTCAGAACAAAAGATTTGCTGAAGTCCAGTTTTTTTAACACTGTACTGGTGCATAGCGAAGAGCCTCTGTAAACAAGAATAAGAATATGATTTCCTATTGCTAACTAGGCTCTCTTCCATCATGCCTTCTATCATATTTAAACCTCTATGGAGATAGAGGACATGCTATTACATTTCTTAAATGATACTAATAATGATAAGGTTGGAAATATTTTAGGCTTCTGTACAACTACCTAAATGGGATTTTGGAGGGAATACCTTCCTCAAACCAAATGGTTGTTGGCTCCTTGTCACTTTTTCAAGTTGATCAGTTCCACGCCTAATTGAATTGATCTCTTCAATACGGCTTTCTTAAGTTTGCATTCTAGTCCAAGAACTCATTTGTCAGTGTGAATTTTATGCTGTAAAAGTGTAATTGTAACATATTATATAAATGTACTTTACTGAAATTTTGGGATCTCAAAAGGTCAACTAAAGGTCAAATTCAGAAACATCCTTTCTGCCTGTGTGTATCCAGTGTTAAGTGGTCTGGAGAATGGCGTCACAGCTAATAACACCTTACAGTGTCATTCTTTCACAAACATGAAGGTTTCGTCACCTGTTTCCACATTCCTCTGTCTTGCTGTCTACATTGTACACAAACAAATGCAGAAGACAGGATACGCTCTTGGTGCTAAGCTTTTGTCTAAAATCTCAGGACAATTACGTCAAAGAGCACAAAACAGAAAGCAAAGGGCTCGTCCGTACAAGCCCCCTGACTGCTTCAAACAGGTGAACTCTACACAATGGTTTCTAGGTGAGACATCTTCATCTCACACCTCATCATCCGTAGCTCTTTCATGTTTCTATTATTGCTCAGAACAAAAGATTTGCTGAAGTCCAGTTTTTTGAACACTACTGGTGCATAGCGAAGAGCCCCCCGGGACCTCTCGCACCCTAAGCGAGAATCATACCCCTAGACCAACGAGCCGCGCTGCTGGAGCGGAGCGGGACAGCACCTATTTAATGGATACAGTTTGTAACTACCTGAATATTACCTGTTTTCTTTTAGATTAGATTAGTTTCCTTTTTTTGTTAACTGGACTATTCGCTATGTGAGGCAGATTTCAAGCGGCGCAACAATCTGCTTTTCTTAACCCCGAAGAGCCCATAAATGAGATTTAGGAATACTGTAGTAGTGGGAAATTTTGTTTAGAATAAAATAGAATTAAATGGCTCATTGGCTTTTAATGACTCCGGCGGCTTTTGCCCGGTTACAGTGACCTACTGCTGTTTTAAGATGTTTGCGCTTGTAAGGCTAGAGGAACGAGAAATCCGGCTTATCTGAAGGAAAAGCCGAGTCAAGCAGATTTGAATGCAAATGAACGGGTCGTTGATCCCATTTGGACAGAAATCTTCAAAAGACTAAAGCCCAGTTGTTTCCTTTGGGAAGGCGGAGCTTACAGATGATGACAACCTGTTTGATCTGCTTGATAACTAACTTTGATAAACTCTACTTTAATTCAGCTAAGATTTGGCGTATGCTGTTTGCTTAACTGGCGTGACCAGACAATGTGGTTTATTTAGTTCTTTCTCAGTAGGCTTCTGTAAACTGACTGTAGTTGGAAATCTTGAATATGAATCTTGCGCCCGCCCACGCGTGGAGGGGCGGGTCGAGCCCCACAGCTGAACTATGAGAGATCGAGCTTCACTTTGACTCGGACACATTCCGCGTAGGTAGCTCGGCGTGCACCTTGACCACTGGGAAAGATATCAAACCGGACTTCACTAGGATTTCTAAACGACAGAAGAGCAAGATGACAGCATGCAGGAACTTTCTTCTATTATTCGCCTCGTCTTTGGACGTGATTTATCAATGCACAGGAATATCATGGCTGTAAGTATTTTTATTCGTTAAACGACATGCGATTTTGGACCATGAATGAATTAAGTGATATTCACCAAACAAAAATCAGATATTTTATTTATTCCAGCTCTACCCGGGTGTTTCAGAAAGCCGTGTAGTATTGAATGTCACAATGATTCGAGAACCGAATAATTCATATCGGTTTTATGAACCAGTTCACCGAAGTTCATTTTAAATTCAATGGCACATGATTGTAACAGATGGTTTGTACTGTTTCTGAAGTTTTTGTCGATTACCTTGTTGAAAACCTATCGAGTCATGTTAGTAATTTAGCATTATAAAATAAAAAGAAGTTAGATGTATGTTTTGGATATTTACGATATTTGTGTTTGCAGCGGTTTAACGGCAGACGGCAGCTCGGTGGGGTGGAATCAGACGCATCACTGTAAACTGCTGGATGGGCTCGTGCCAGATCAGCTGCAGCTCTGCAAGCGGAACCTCGAGCTCATGCACAGCATCGTGCACGCGGCCAGACTCACCAAGAGCGCGTGCCGGAGCTCCTTCAGCGACATGCGCTGGAACTGCTCCTCCATCGAGAGCGCGCCTCACTTCACCCCGGACCTGGCTAAAGGTGATGCACACATGTCTGTCCTTGTACATGGGTTCTCAGTAAATAAACATTTATTTAAATAATTCTGTTTTGTAATCATTCAACTGTTATATATATAGATTAGCATTGTACTGACCAACAGTCACACTACTTTTTAGATATACAATATATTACCTTCTAATGAACAGGTTTGACCACTTTAGTCATTTCCATGAGGACAAATCTTAATGTTTAAGCATATAATGATATTCTAGGGAATTGTTTGCTTCTTATTTTATAGCAACAGTTTGGACAGGACCCTTTTCTATTCTAACATGATAATGCCCCTGTGTATAAGACAGGGTTAAAAAAGAAATGATTGATTCAGTCAGTGTGGAAGAACTTAACTGGTCATAACAGTCATTTTAGACGCTTCCAAAGCTGTTGCAACAGAGATGGAAATACAATTTTTAAATACATGAATTGTGTTTCCGTCTTTGTTGCCAGAGTTTTGGAAGTGCCTTTTTCTGTTCTAAAGAAGGGGGTGTCCCAATACTTTTGTCCATATGGTGTATGTACAAGTCATTGGTGTTTGGTGATGAGTTTTTGGCTCAAGGTCTGCATTTAAAGTCACACCAGAGGTGTTCAGCTGGGATTAGCACTTGGGAAGTTCATTTTAAATTCAATGGCACATGATTGTAACAGATGGTTTGTACTGTTTCTGAAGTTTTTGTCGATTACCTTGTTGAAAACCTATCGAGTCATGTTAGTAATTTAGCATTATAAAATAAAAAGAAGTTAGATGTATGTTTTGGATATTTACGATATTTGTGTTTGCAGCGGTTTAACGGCAGACGGCAGCTCGGTGGGGTGGAATCAGACGCATCACTGTAAACTGCTGGATGGGCTCGTGCCAGATCAGCTGCAGCTCTGCAAGCGGAACCTCGAGCTCATGCACAGCATCGTGCACGCGGCCAGACTCACCAAGAGCGCGTGCCGGAGCTCCTTCAGCGACATGCGCTGGAACTGCTCCTCCATCGAGAGCGCGCCTCACTTCACCCCGGACCTGGCTAAAGGTGATGCACACATGTCTGTCCTTGTACATGGGTTCTCAGTAAATAAACATTTATTTAAATAATTCTGTTTTGTAATCATTCAACTGTTATATATATAGATTAGCATTGTACTGACCAACAGTCACACTACTTTTTAGATATACAATATATTACCTTCTAATGAACAGGTTTGACCACTTTAGTCATTTCCATGAGGACAAATCTTAATGTTTAAGCATATAATGATATTCTAGGGAATTGTTTGCTTCTTATTTTATAGCAACAGTTTGGACAGGACCCTTTTCTATTCTAACATGATAATGCCCCTGTGTATAAGACAGGGTTAAAAAAGAAATGATTGATTCAGTCAGTGTGGAAGAACTTAACTGGTCATAACAGTCATTTTAGACGCTTCCAAAGCTGTTGCAACAGAGATGGAAATACAATTTTTAAATACATGAATTGTGTTTCCGTCTTTGTTGCCAGAGTTTTGGAAGTGCCTTTTTCTGTTCTAAAGAAGGGGGTGTCCCAATACTTTTGTCCATATGGTGTATGTACAAGTCATTGGTGTTTGGTGATGAGTTTTTGGCTCAAGGTCTGCATTTAAAGTCACACCAGAGGTGTTCAGCTGGGATTAGCACTTGGCTTTCTGCAGACCAGTCAAGTTCTTTCACACTGACTGAATCAATCGTTTCTTTTTGAACCTTGCCTTACACACACGCACTGTCATGTTAGAATAGAAAATGATCCTGTCTAAACTGTTGCTATAAAATTAGAAGCACACAATTCCCTAGAATAGCATTAAGATTACTAAAGCAGTCAAACCTGTCCTTTCAAGGGGGTGTCCCAATACTTTTGGCAATATAGTGTAAGTATCAGCTATGTAAAAACCACTAATTCATAATATAAATTTGCAAACTCCACACATTTATTCTGAGTTCGGGTTGCTGGTGTTTGCATATATAGGTGATCTAACAGTGGCGTCTCTCTGTGCAGGGACCCGCGAGGCAGCGTTTGTGTTCTCCCTGGCCGCTGCATTGGCCAGTCATTCCATCGCCCGTGCCTGTGCTTCCGGAGAGCTCCCCAGCTGTTCCTGTGCGCCAGCGCCCTCAGAGCAGGCGGCCCCAGACTTCCGCTGGGGTGGCTGCGGAGATAATGTTCGCTACGGCCTGCAGATGGGCTCGGCTTTCTCAGACGCACCCATGAGGAACCGCCGCTCAGGACCACAGGCCTTCAGACTCATACAGCTTCACAACAATGCAGTGGGAAGACAGGTAAACTCAACCGCATGCTTAATTTCCACCAAAGACTGGCTTCATTTGTAAATTACCTTGACGCACTCATCTGTGAACAGAATACTGTCTGATTGTAACACTGAAACATGCATTTTCTTTGATGCAGCTCATTTCATTCATGTGTTTCGTTGTTTTTGCATAGGCACTCATGGATGCTCTAGAGATGAAGTGCAAATGCCACGGTGTTTCTGGCTCCTGCTCTGTGAAGACCTGCTGGAAGGGCCTTCAAGACATCAACAGCATCTCAGCCGACCTCAAGTCTAAATACCTGTCGGCCACCAAGGTCATTCCGCGCCAGATTGGCACCCGCCGACAGCTAGTCCCCCGTGAGATGGAGGTCAGACCGGTCGGAGAGAATGAACTTGTTTATCTGGTCAGCTCGCCCGATTACTGCTCACAGAACGCCAAGCAGGGGTCATTCGGAACCACAGACAGGTGAGATATGCATCAACAATCAGGATTATTGATTTATGATGAGTTGAGAACTATCACTATCACTGGACTATCACTGATCTGACAGATGGGACAGAGCACAAAGAAAACATAGAATCGGTTAAGCAATATCTCACACACACACACAGAGACACAAATACTGATTCTCACAATGCAAACAGGCTATTTGCCAGTATTAAAATACATTATGTGTGAATAATTTGCTCTGTATCGTCTCTGCAGGCAGTGTAACAAGACTGCGACCGGCAGTGAGAGCTGTGGACTCATGTGTTGTGGACGAGGGTATAATGCCTATACGGAGGTGCTGGTGGAGCGCTGCCAGTGTAAATATCACTGGTGCTGTTACGTGTCCTGCAAAACCTGCCATCGCACTATTGAGAGATACGTCTGCAAGTGACAAACCACCCTATGGACTGTCTTCATTGACAGAGAGTGCTGGATGAATGTGTATGATCTTTTTAGAGCCATAAGTGAGTGGTTAATCCTCTCGGAGTGCTGTAAGGATTGCATGAAATTGGAGAAAGAAGAGCCGGAGTTGAAGAATACGGGATGGTGAAAGAGTTAATGAATGGCTGTAAACAAAGAACCCTGCAGTGAGGCCCTCAAGGCACCCCGCAGAAAAGCAGAGTGATAAGTAGTGGCCGCTCACAGCAAAACTCATCAACTCTGGCACAGAGAAAAAGACTTGGGGGGGAGGGTAGGACTGTGCTGGTGAAGAGTTACTTTACTGCGGTAATGCTTTACACATTGCTGTTTTGGGGCCAGTTACATAAAAGGTTTAGACTTACAAGTTAGTCATCTCATTTTTTTCGTTAAGACTAACTTTTTTTTTTTATTCAGTTACATAAAAGCGTAGATTAGTCTAAGTTGAATCCAAAAATAAGACTGATTTCCCTTTGGCTAACTGCTAGTTGGTCAAACTCGTACTTAAGACACTACAGAAGCTAAGTTTATGCAATTGGCCCTTGGTCAGATCAATTTAATAGGTTCCACAGAAGCAAGAGTTGGAAATCAAACTGTTTGGTTTGGTTGACTTCCGAAGTTCTATGCACTCAGTATTGATTATGAAGGATTTGATGACAATGTTGTATTCCATTGTATTCATGAAAAGAAGGATGAAGGCCATGCCTTTCACCCTGGCAAATTTGTAAATTTTCTGTAAAAATGAAAATTTGTATTTATTTTATTAAAATATTTAATGTGAAAGAGTCTAATTTGTCATTTTTCATCATGTAAGAGTTAAAGGGATAGTTGGTCCAAAAATGAGAACTGTGGTGTTCCAAACCTTTATGACTTTTTTTTCTTCTGCAGAACATAAAAAAATATATTTTGAAGAATGTCGGTAGCCAAACAGTATTGGCACCCCTTGACTTGCACTGTATAGACAAGAAGCACGGAGACATTTCTCAAAATATCTTCCTTTATGTTCCACAAAAGAAATAAAGGTCATATGGGTTTGGAACGACATGCTGTGAGTACATGACAACATTTTTTTGGGTGAACTATTCTTTTAAAGTCTTGCTTACAGTCAGTCAAAAGCAGTTTTGAGAAGATTTATGTCGGTCAGAATCTGATCAGCATTTTATAGCAGTTCTGTATGTGAATTCTGCATGTTTTCTCTGATCTCTCATTAACATTCTTCCACATCAAAGACATTTTCAGGATATCAGTGCAATAGAGAGATTTAAAACCCAGATAGCAAAAATTCAACAGAGGCTAAGGGAGAAAGAGACCGAGGGCTAACCTGTTATGCAGTTCCTTTTGTCCTGATTTTTATCTCTGCATTGTTACAGAAAGACAAAGGCACACACAGACTTCTGGGCTCTTTGCAGGACCAGGCTGAGCCTCGGAGGGGGTTTAGCTTTGCTCAACAGCTTACAGTTAAGGGTCCTCAAATGCTTGATTTAAAAAAATACACTGGCAGAGAAGAATGTTGAATGCTCTTGCTAAAATATTAGCAGTTATTTTTTCTTTACAAAAGTGTATCTAAAGGCTTTAATCACAAGGATTTTATCAGCCACAGGAAGCAATAGACAGTAGAAAGGTGTGTGAGATGCATTTGATATCTCAAGGATGAAGGAGCGTAATGCCGTTTGTTTCTCTTTCTAAAAATATCGATCTGTTTTTCCGACATGAGATTATTCTCTCTTCTTCTCTGTTGACTGTGCACACGGTGTGAATCTCTGTGGAATGCGGCTCCTCATTTAACCGGGTCCCGTGTATTGTTTACTAAGAGTATAACACCACACTCCCATACAATGAGTATTTACACACACAGTCTGAGGAAGAGTTTGATAGTGCTTGGCTGTTTTCTGAGTGATTGTTTGTGAAAACAGATGCAGGACAATCCCACGGATCTCTGCTGACAGACTCGTCCAAACCTCTTTTTCACACACATTTGTTTTTCTGTCACAGTGGGATCTTTACATGGACTTTTGAGATGTTATTTTCTATCCCCTAATGCTAAATCGTTTTCATTATGGTGACCTTGAGATGGTCATCTCAATGTAGGTGGCTTCAGTTTTCACTATCAGCCTGGGCCACACACACAGACAAAATCGTTTTATAACATTGTCCATGCATTTTGCTATGTTTATACTGAACTAGGCCACAAACCTTCCCCTTTCAAAAACCTGTTGGTTTTAATTCAAAGATGTATTAAACCCTTCTTCTCATATAGCACGAACATCTAGTCCATTTGCTATCTGAGGTTTCCATTTGAACCATGTATTTGAGTGTGTGTGTGTGTGTGTGTTTGTGACAAATGAGGACATAAATTTGTATAATGACAAAGGTATGACATAGGTATTACAATGAGAAGATGATTTTCAGGACATTACCCCCATGTCCCCACTTTTCAAAACGCTTATAAATCACACAGAATGGAGTGTATTGAAAATCTGAAATAGCACAAAGTTTCCTGTAAAGGGTAGGTTTAGGTGTAGGGTTGGTGTAGGGCAATAGAATATACGGTCTGTACAGTATAAAAACCATTATGCCTATGGGATGTCCCCACTTTTCACAAAAACAAACCTGTGTGTGTGATGTGTGTCCCTGTTATTCTATTCTGGTGAGGACTTAAATCTGAATACACACAGACTCATGGGGACTCGTGTCACGGTGGCCCTAAACTGAGGTCCCCACGGGTAAACAAGCTAATAAATCACACAGAATTAAGTTTTTTGAAAATCTAAAAATGCAAAGTTTTCTGTGAGGGGTAGGTTTAGGTGTAGGGTTGGTGTAGGGCAATAGAAAATATGGTCTGTACAGTAGAAAAAGCATTACGCCTATGGAGAGTCCCCACAAGGATAACTGACCAGACATATGTGTGTGTGTGTGTGTGGCACCTGTCAGTTCTGCCCCCCATATTGCAAATGACAAAGCAAAGGGCACAAAAGGCTATAACTCTCACAACATAGCTGGACACACACACACACACATACTGAGAATAGATCAGCAAGTGACTCCAAATATGTGAAGAATCAACATCAAGGCGTGACAAAAATATAACCTAAAAAATATTTAGAGCTACACAACATGTAGCAAAACTGTGTGGAAATGTTCAAATGTATGCTGTTTTTCAGTTCTTTTCCGCTCATGGGGTCTCCTGGTGTTTATTTGAATATGGTTTGTCTATGTCGGCTGTTATTCTATAGGGTGACAGTTGATGTATGTTGTATGTTCCAAGGGTAGAGATCAGGGTTAAAGGTCATGACTGGGTTAGGGTTAGTCCTCTACTATGAGGGGAATTTTCTTTTTGTGGCCAGAAAGACAAAATAACCTCATAGCCCATTAAACTGATGAAAAAATAGCATCTTTAACATATAAGAGAGACATGATAGATATGATCTCACACCTGTGCGACAGCCTTTAGCTGTAGACAGAAACTCAAAAGTGTGGTTAACCATCAGATTAAGAAAAGACTGGATCAGGATCAGTGAACTGAATAAACACATTTGCTTAAGCCTAGAGAGAGTTCTCGTCTATCACAGTAACAGCTCTAATGTGTCATGGTTTCTCAACAGCTGATCATGCCAGAGGTTCAGCGATACAACACCATGGGAAAATGAGTTGAGTTTCCGCTTTGTAATAACAAAGGCTCAGTCTTCGATGGAAAAACAGCCCTGCAATATGTTACTTTATGAAGTTTATTTGTCCTACACAGTATGAATGGCTCGGTTAAACACTCCCAGGCTCATTTACTGCAGGCAAAATCATTAATATCAGCCAAACGTGCTAAGTTGCCTTCATACAGTCACACAAACAAATAGTCCAGCACAAAGTGATGCATGAAGTGACCGAGACCTCTGAGACAAATGGTTTCTGCATGCTAATGTTGTCACAGATCTGTGTTTATACAGGGTGTAAAGCTTTTTAAAATGAAAACTGAGCAGACCTGTGGGAGATCTGTTTTTTTAAGGTTCTTGCTTTTCCTACTTAGAATTTTTAAAGATATGGTTCAGAATAGTCCTGTTGACAGAAAAAGAGCAGGAGTTTTGCATGCAAAACAGTTTCATGTGTGAACTGAGAGGCAAAGCTATATAAAGTGTCAACATATACCGTCCAGAGTAGGACAAGCGACAGAAATTTAGGATGGGAAAGTAGTTTTGCGTAGTAAAAAGGCTAATTTATTTTTGTTTTAGATATTTGGGACAATTCCTAAATTATTATTGCTTGTTTTAAGCAAATATTTTTTGAAAATAAAAAAATACAAAAACATTGACCATTAAGCATAGGCTGCCCTGCTATTTAAAATATTTGTAAATATACATTTTACATTAATATATGCTGTCATAAAAGAAGGATAGTACACTGGTATACTCAAAAACACACTTAGAGATGCAACAGCTTAGAACAGTTCAAATGTAAGTGTTTAATGGCAATTTAACCTTCAGATGAGGGCTGTAGTTATTTAACTTTTTTTTTTTAATCTGTTCATTTACAATTATTTATTTATTTCAAAGTTACAAATGATGATGATAAATCATTTTTTAATTATCAACATTAATGATAAAATAAACGTTTTATTTCAAAGGTTTTCAAAAGTGGACATTATTTGAGTTATATTACTCGTTATTTGAGTGGACATTATTTGAGTTATTACTATTTTCCTTCGTTACTTAAAATGAAGGAAGATTACTTAACATTTAATGATATTTATAGTGTATTCATTGCACTAAATTTTAGGAGTAATGTTAATTAAGAGTAATGCTTGTACATTTTGTCAAAAAGATCTTAGGAACATCTTTTCTGCAAGTGTAATTTTGTTAAAAACCTTTTGGACACAATTTATGAGTAGGAGTTTGTTACAAAGATATCACATTGTTAACTTTGGTGGTTTTATGCAAAACGAAGAGATTTATTTTTTGTGTGTGTGTATGTGTGTGCAAAAATATTTTGATTATAGGATAACTTACACTAATATATATTTGTTAAAGTTACTCCAAGTTTTGTGACAGGGTTGGTGTAGGGCAATAGAAAATATGGTCTGTACAGTAGAAAAAGCATTACGCCTATGGAGAGTCCCCACAAGGATAACTGACCAGACATATGTGTGTGTGTGTGTGTGGCACCTGTCAGTTCTGCCCCCCATATTGCAAATGACAAAGCAAAGGGCACAAAAGGCTATAACTCTCACAACATAGCTGGACACACACACACACACATACTGAGAATAGATCAGCAAGTGACTCCAAATATGTGAAGAATCAACATCAAGGCGTGACAAAAATATAACCTAAAAAATATTTAGAGCTACACAACATGTAGCAAAACTGTGTGGAAATGTTCAAATGTATGCTGTTTTTCAGTTCTTTTCCGCTCATGGGGTCTCCTGGTGTTTATTTGAATATGGTTTGTCTATGTCGGCTGTTATTCTATAGGGTGACAGTTGATGTATGTTGTATGTTCCAAGGGTAGAGATCAGGGTTAAAGGTCATGACTGGGTTAGGGTTAGTCCTCTACTATGAGGGGAATTTTCTTTTTGTGGCCAGAAAGACAAAATAACCTCATAGCCCATTAAACTGATGAAAAAATAGCATCTTTAACATATAAGAG